ATTTATATGTTTGTTTAATTATGTTCAAGTATAATGTTCTGGATGCCTGAGTAAATGTGACCAACAAGGCTTTCAGCACACCAAATATGCTTATACTTTGTGCTTTGGTTTGTTTCTGCATCTATTTTGTAAGAAAGTATTGTTTTTAGAAATATATCTTTGCATTTCATTGGCTGTATGTACTTTGTGATAAAAGTATACCACTCCACAGGGATTAGGGATAGTGGGGTGAAGCGGGGAGAGCAGTGTGTGTGCTTATAAAAGGGCAACACCAGGGGCCCTTGTGATGGAACTGCGCTGCATCTTGTCTTTGATAATGGATACATGGTTTTATGCACATGTGACAAAACTGTGCTTATAAAGGGCAATAACCAGGGATCCTTGTAATGGAACTGTACTATATCTTGATTTTGGTGATGGATATGTTGTATTATGCACATGTGATAAAACTGCATAGAACTAAACACACACAGATGAATACAAATAAAACTGGGGAAATCAGGATGAGATAGGTGAATCATATCAATGTCAATAATACAGCTGTGCTATAGTTTTGCAAGATGTTACCATTTGAAGAAAACAGGGTGAAAGGTATACCAGATCTCTATGATTTCTTTCAACTGAATGTGAACCTACAATTATCTCAAACTAAAAGTTTCAATTAAAAACAATTTAAAGAAGTCTGTGTTAAAAGATAGTGGCTTAACACATGTAGATGCAGGAAGCACATTCATATATCACTTTGTGGAGCATGACTTTCATTTACAATCAAAGGATGCTCTGCTAAATAGATTTTATAAATTTTCTATTCTGAGTTTTCTTGTGCATGTATAGAAAGTAAGGCAATAGCTGTGATGTGTTATCTTCATTAGCAGAAGAAGAACTTTGCAAACACTTAAGTGATACCAGTTTTGTATCAGTCTCATTGTCTGTGTCAAATGGAAATTCAGTTAATTCTAATAATGGTTCTTTTTTTTCATACAATTCATGGAATAAAATTAAAGTTTTTGGAAGTTCATTCATCAGAATGGAAATATTTGATATTATTGTGAATGCTAATGTGAATTCAACATCAAAGAAAATGTTACTTTTTTTTTTTTTTTTTTTTTTGGAGACAGAGTCTCACTCTGTCATCCAGGCTGGAGTGCAATGGCTTACTGCAGCCTCAACCTCCTGGGTTCAAGCAGTCCTCCCACCTTAGCTTTCCAAGTAGCTGGGACTATAGTGCACACTACCATACCCAGCAAATTAAAAAAATTTTTTGTACAGATGGGGTCTCATTATGTTGCCCAGGCTAGTCTCAAACTCCTGACTCAAGTGATCCTTCTGCCTCGGTCTCCCAGAGTGCTGGGATTACAGGCATGAGCCACTGTGCCTGGCCATTTGTTATTTTTTTTATTTTTTTTAAATTAAATTTAATTAATTATTATTATTTTTTGAGACTCGCTCTGTTGCCCAGGTTGGAGTGCAGTGGCACTATCTTGGCTCACTGCAACCTCTGCCTCCAGGGTTCAAGCGATTCTCGTGCCTCAGCCTCCCGAGTAGCTGGAATTACAGGTGCATGCCTCCATGCCCTGCTAACTTTTGTATTTTTAGTAGAGATGGGGTTTCGCCCTGTTGGCCAGGCTGACCTCAAGTGATCCTCCCGCCTCGGCCTCCCAAAGTGCTGTGATTATAGGCGTGAGCTACCATGCCCAGCCAATTTTATTTTTTTGTTCAGATGAGGTCTTGCTGTGTTGCCCAGGCTGGTCTTGAACTCCTGGCCTCAAGTGATCTTTCCGCCTTGACCTCCCAGTGTTAGGATTATAGATATGAGCCATCACACCTGGCCTGTTTTTAGAATAATGATATAAATATTAAGTATAATGGGGCAGAGTTAATGTCAAAACAGTGTTCTTACTATATTAAGAAACAATGTAGCAGAAAATATATTTGAAATTGGTTGTAGCACATTCATTATTTATAATTACATCTAAATAAGTCTGGTATTCTACCAATAAAATAACTATAATTTTCAAAATTTACAAGTATTTCTATATACATATAGTATTTTTACTATAAATTTTTGTGATAACTGATGTTGAATTTTTAAAAATGTTTCAGCAAGTCGGTATTTACGTTGTTTCATTGCCACCTGTCAGCAATAACATCTTAGAGATATTTGAAAAATATGTTTACCACTCCGTATTTACTCCCTGAAATTTTTTCAGGGAACTTGAGATGGAGTGGCATCCTCATTTTAAAAATACATATATCTATCCTGACAATATTTAGCAGTTCAAAAGGTAATCAGATTGTGAGTATATTATTTTGCTTTCATTCTTTTCACCCTCCATTTCAAGACACTTATCGAATTTTTCTTTCTTTTTTTCTTCTTTCTTTCTTTCTTTCTTTCTTTTTTTTTTTTTTTTTTTTTTGAGACAAGGTCTTGCTTGGTCACCCAGGCTGACTGGAGTGCAGAGGTGTGAACAAGGCTCACTGCAGCCTCGACCTCCTGGGTTCAAGCAATCCTCCCATCCCAGCCCCACCAAGGAGCTGGGACTACAGGACTGCACCACCATGCCTGGCTACTTTTGGTATTTTTTGTAAAGACAGGATTTTGTCATGTCTCAAATTCCTGAGCTTTAGCGATTCGCAGGCCTCAGCCTCCCAAAGTGCTGGGATTATAGATATGAGCTACTGTACCTGGTGTTTATTAAATTCTTGACTCAGTTTATGCCCTTACCCCCTTCTCTTCCACTTCTCACAGACACACGCACGTCAAGGACCTAACCAAGTTAGATGAATCTTGTGTCTGGGTGTAGCTGCTCCTGTTTCCTGGTTGTTAGTAGATATTCCATGTTGGTTAAAGCTGTGGTTTCTTCCTCTTGAGGTGCTTATGATTTCTGTGCTGCAGCTTGTTTCCCTGCAGAAGCTATTGACTCCTACTGAAACTCCTTTTGTGTGTGCGTGTGTCTGTTGTTAAAGCTAACCTATAGTGCTTGGTACAATACAGTTGGTCTGGCTATGCTCTTAAGACTTTGTCAGTGGCATCATCTTTCCATCTAGTGTTTAAAATGACTCATAATTACAAGTTACTAAATTACTTAATTTTAAAAATATGATATTGACATATTGAATTCCGTAATATGACATTGCTTAGTCTCTTGTTCAGAAGACTTTGGTTCCTTGGTGAGATTTGATATAAATGATTCTATTTAAGTACATTTGCCCCTTGGTATCCTCCAAGGATTAGTTCCAGGATACCCCCAACCTCCACCCCTTGGATACCAAAGTCCACATATACTCAAGCCCCTTATGTAAAATGGTGTAGTATTTGCATATAATCTACACACATCCTCCGGTATACTTTAGTTAGTTAGTTAGTTAGTTAGTTAGCTAGTTAGTTTTGAGATGGAGTCTGGCTCTGTCGCCCAGACTGGAGTGCAGTGGCGTGATCTTGGCTCACTGCAAGCTCCGCCTCCCGGGTTCATGCCATTCTCCTGGCTCAGCCTCCCGAGTAGCTGGGACTACAGGAGCCCACCACCACGCCTGGCTAATTTTTTGTATTTTTAGTAGAGACAGGGTTTCACTGTGTTAGCCAGGATGGTCTCGATCTCCTGATCTCGTGATCCGCCCACCTCGGCCTCCCAAAGTGCTGGGATTACAGGCATGAGCCACCGCACCTGGCCCTTCCTGTCTACTTTAAATCACCTCTAGATTATCTATAATACCTAATTCCATTAAATGCTATATAAATAGTTATACCGAATTATTTGGTTAAATTTGTACTACATTTTTTTGTTGTATCATTCATTTGAGATAGAGCTTTACTCTGTTACCCAGGCTGGAGTGCAGTGGTGTGATCAGGGCTCACTGCAGCCTCAGCTTCCTGGGCTCAAGTGATTCTCGTGCCTCAGTCTCCTGAGTAGCTGAGAATACAGGCATGTGCCACCCTGCCTGGCACTAACTTTCTTTCTTTTTTTTTTTTTTTTTAGAGATGGGATCTCATTATATTGCCCAGGCTGGCTTTGAACTCTTGGGCTGAAACGATCCTCCTGCCTTGGCCTCTCAAAGTGCTGGAATTACAGACGTGAGCCACTGAGCCCAGTCTGTTATTTTTATTGTTTTTGAAAAACATCTTTTCGGGCCATATGTGGTGGCTCATGCCTGTAATCCCAGCACTTTGGGAGGCCGAGGCAGGCAGATCACCTGAGGTTAGGAGTTCGAGACCAGCCTGACCAACATGGAGAAACCCAGTCTCTACTGAAAATACAAAATTAGCTGGGCATGGTGGCACATGCCTGTAATCCCAGCTACTTGGGAGGCAGAGGCAGAAGAATCTCTTGAACCTTGGAGGTGGAGGTTGCGGTGAGCCAAGATCGAGCCACTGCACTCCATCCTGGGCAACAAGAGCAAAACTGTCTCAAAAACAACAACAACAACAACAACAAAACATTTTTTCAATCCATAGTATGGATGTGGAACTCATGGATACAGAAGGCTGACTGTCATATCTTTGAAATTTGTAATAAAGGGAAAGTACTTTTGGGTATTCTTTGAAATTTTTTTATATGGAAGTTACTTGAGTCTATATTTGAATTATGTTAAATGTATACATTTTTCCCATGTGGATGAGGCTCTGTACACAGTGCCCCAGAAATAGGCATGTTGTTCTTTCTTACGCTCTTTACCCTGTACACATTTCCTCTTTTGTACCCTTATTTATTCTTCTTGCTTTCTTTTTCTCCCCCTTATGTGCTTGTTTTTTCTTTTTTTTCCTCATTGCCTCTCTTCAGCATGTTTTGTTTTTAAAGTATGTATTTATTCTTTACTGAAACGTGTTTCCCGAAGAACTTGTTTTTAAAAATTGCTTATTGGCTCTTAACCATAAGAAAACAATACATGAAGTCAGTTTAGTAATTATCACTATTAACAGAACTTTAAGTATCCTCAGGCATATTGGGGGAAATATTTGATTGGAATGAATTTAAGTCCAATTCTTACTCTTTTCAATACAGTTATTTCTCAAACTCTGAGGCTGTGGAGTTCGCACATTGAAATCTGTCATCTTTTTCAGAGAGAAACTTTTTGTAATGTGTAAGTAGTTTTTGGCTTTCATTTTGATTTGTTTCAGTTAGCTATTTTCTGTATTAAACACAGTGAAACCTTAATTTTCCAGAAGTCTTAATAATTTGGAATATATTCTCCACGTAATAATTATGGGTAACAAATGATACAAAGTAATTCAATTGAAAGATGTCTCAAGATGTGCCTTGGGTCACTATTAATTCAACACCATTTATTAGAGACAAAATCTTCAATGTAAAGAATACGGTTCCCTTTTAGTAGTTATTTCCTGTGTTCTATTGTGAATGAGTTCAAATTATTAAATTTTGTGAAAAATACCCAAAAGAGCTAATGAAAAGGAATTTTATAAATTAATGTATCTCAAATATGTACTTATAATAACTAGTTATTTCCAAGGATAAAGTGGCAGTTCTCAAAAAAACTTATTAAATATATGTTTTCATGAAAATACTGTATCTCTTCTCTTTCCCCTTTTTTTTTTTGAGACAGAGTCTACCTCTGTTGCCCAGGCTGGAGTACAGTGGCATGATCTTGGCTCATTGCAACCGCTGCCTACAGCGTTCAGGTGATTCTTGTTCCTCAGCCTCTCAAGTAGCTGGGATTATAGGCATGCACCATCATGCCTGGCTAATTTTTGTATTTTTGGTAGAAACGGGGTTTCACCATGTTGGCCAGGCTGGTCTTGAACTGCTGACCTCAAGTGATCCACCCATCTCGGCCTCCCCGAAGTGCTGGGATTACAGGCATGAGCCACTCTGCCTGGCCTCTTACCCTTCTTTCTACATAGCAAGACATAAAACTATTTTATGCAATAGTAAGTGTCTACTTTAGTTTGTTTGTTTATTTATTTATTATTTTGAGACAGAGTCTCACTCTTGCCCAGGCTGGAGTGCAGTGGCGTGATCTCAGCTCACTGCAGTCTCTGCCTTCCGGGTTCAAGCAATTCTCCTGCCTCAGCCTCCTGAGTAGCTGGGATTTCAGGCATGTACCACCATGCCCCGCTAATTTTTTTTTGTATTTTAAGTAGAGATGGGGTTTCACTGTGTTGGCCAGCCTGGTCTCGAACTCTTGACCTCAAGTGATCTGCCTGCCTTGGCCTTCCAAAGTGCTGGGATTACAGGCATGAGCCACCACGCCTGGCCATGCTTTAGTTTAAAAAACGTAAAGTTAGTGTGTAGGAAAAAGGAGGATGTTTTAGTTTCTTCATTATGATGGAATGAAAATACTTTACCAGAGTAATTTTTAAGGTTATATGTATTTAGAGCTTATAATATAAAATTCATGCACACATGAAAGCACATAAGTAAAGGCTGGTATAACCTTTGACCTAATAATTCTATTTCAGTAAATGTATCCTGAAGAAATCCTAAAATTGTATCCAGAGGTTTATCAAGATTATTCATTGTACCCTTTAAAAAATATTAGCAAAATAAGTAGAAGTAATAAATGATCTACAGTAAGCACATAGGTCAAAAATGGTATATCCATAAAATAAAATACTATGCAGCCCTTTAAAAATTGTTTTGAAAGACTAATGAACTGGAGGAAAAAAAAACAAAAGTGCTTTTGTTATTCTGCAACTTTCTTAAACAGATGGTCAATTGGGTAAAACGACTCTTTTTTTGAGAGCACTTGTTATATGCAGTGAGCTGAGGGTGATGAGTCAGCATTTAATAGCCTTCTCAGAAGAACAGGTTGTTAACACTTTCTTTTTAAGTGTCCATCTAGGAGGCATTTCTGAAAAGGTTAAGCCCTTTATCATATGTAGAAATCCTATATATAAGGAAATTGCTGCATAGGTGCCATTAGTATGTAAATAAAACAAGGAGAAACATTTAATCCTTCTTTAGTGTCTTTTTTTTTTTTCTTTTTTTTCCAGACAGAGTCTCGCTCGGTCGCCCAAGCTGGAGTGCAGTGGCATGATCTCGGCTCACTGCAACCTCCGCCTCCCGGGTTCAAGCGATTCTCCTGCCTCTGCCTCCCGAGTAGCTGGGACTACAGGCACATGCCACCGTGCTTGGCTAATTTTTGTATTTTTAGTAGAAATGGGGTTTCACCATATTGGCTGGGCTGGTCTCAAACTCCTGACCTTGTGATCCACCCGCGTTGGCCTCCCAAAGTGCTGGGATGACAGGCATGAGCCACCTTGCCCAGCCTAGTCTCATTTTTAAAGAAAATAGTGAGAATACTTACAGTATATTTGAGCGATTAATACAGATTCCAAGAAATGTGTCACGAATTCTGAAAACTGATGACATTAGCAATATAGAAAATTAAATGAGTTTTGGGATTTCAATTAAAATGTTAATAATTATATTGTAAACAAGTATATACTACATAAGAATATCTTTGCCCTGAGATTTTATGGTCTACAAAGGAAGGTTGTTTACTGTAAACTAGCATTTTCTGAGGGTTGTTTCTTGTTGTTAAGTGGGAAAATATGGTTCATTGTTCAAATAGACTTGGGAAATCCTGAGTTAAACAAAGTTTATCGGCTACCTTTATCAGAAGATTGCTGAGGATTTAGTATTTTTATATATATAAGTAAATATCCAAAGAGACCTGTGGTGTGTGTATGTAATTTATTTGTCCATGGAATCTTTTCTTTGCACTTATTGGAAGTGTGTCTAACATGAAACGAAATCTGGGAAATTGTTTTAGATTAAACTTTTTTCCTATAATAGAGATACATAAATAATGACGGTACTGTGGAATGTATTCTCCTAGTTAAAGAAAAAAATAGGTTGGGTATGGTGGCTCACGCCTGTAATCCCAACACTTTGGGAGACTGAGGTGGAAGAATCTCTTGAGCCCAGGAGTTTGAGACCAGCCTGGGCAACAAAATGAGACTCTCTCTCTACAACAAAAACAAACTAGCCACGCGCGGTGGTGCACACCTGTGGTCCCAGCTGCGCAGGAGGCTGAGGCAGAAGGATTTCTTGAGCCCAGGTGGTCAAGGCTGCAGTGAGCCATGTTTGCGCTACTCCATTTCAGCCTGGGCGACAGAGCGAGACCCTGTCTCAAAAATAAATAAATACATAAATAAAATTAAGTGATACCAGACAACCAAAGGAGACTGCAGATATATGATAGATTCTGTGTATTTTTTCTTTGAATCTATTGTGAGCATGCATTACTGTTATACTCTCTTACTTTTATTATTTAAAATTATTCTCTTTGATATATCTGCTGAGACTTACTTCTGGTAGATTTTTGTGTGTGTGCTTTTGTAGTTTTGGAACAGAAGCTTGTCTTCCACTGGGCTTTGTTTGTGGAAAACCTGGGTTGAGGCTGTACCCTCAAGAACTGTTTTACTTTTCAAGGGGTATCACTAGCTTGAGAACAGTTTTTTTTTTTTTCTTTTTGAGATGGGAGTTTCGCTCTTGTTGCCCAGGCTGGAGTGCAATGGTGCGATCTCAGCTCACCACAACCTCTTCCTCCTGGGTTCAAGCGATTCTCCTGCCTCAGCCTCCCGAGTAGCTGGGATTACAGGCATGTGCTACCATGCCTGGCTAATTTTGTATTTTTAGTAGAGATGGGGTTTCTCCATGTTGGTCAAGCTGGTCTTGAACTCCAACCTCAGGTAATCTGCCTGCCTCAGCCTACCAAAGTGCTGGGATTACAGGCGCGAGCCACTGTGCTCGGCCAACCTGAGAACACTTTTGTTATTAATTTCTTAGTTTCCTGGGACCATCCATATGGTGTAAGTTCAAACCCCAAACCCAAGTGTGAATAGGCCTATTGTTATGAATTCTCAGAGGAGACTCCCCCACCACCCTCCCTACAACTTTATTATCTCCCTGTGTCAGTGGATAGGTCTTTTAAATCCACTCTTTGGCTGGGAGTAATAGTCCTTTGAAACTCTCGGCTTTATACAGGTGGCTCAGTTCCAATTCTCTGTCTATGTGGTCTGAAGTGCTTATCTCCCAGCTTTTAATGCCTTCTAAAACACAAACCGGATCAGGTGCGGTGGCTTATGCCTGTAATCCCAGCACTTTGGTAGACTGAGATGGGAGGATCATTGGACCCCAGGAGTTCAAGACCAGCCTGGGCAACATAGTGAGACCCTCCCCCCCATCTCAGAAGAATAAAACAAAATAAACACACAAACCTCTTGATTATTGAGGAGATCAGTAAATTTCCCCACTCAGTGGTAATTTACAGACTGCATTCTGACTTTTGGTTTCCTCAGTGTTTTGGGGACCTAGGAATTACCCTTACATTCTTACAAGTCTATGTAAGATTTATATTTAAAAGCGCTTATTGAACGACTGTGCATTTATTTATTTATTTATTTATTTATTTATTTATTTGAGGTGGAGTTTCACTCTTTTTGCCCAGGCTGGAGTGCAGTGGTCTGATCTCGGCTCACTGCAACCTCTGCTTCCCAGGTTCAAGCGATTCTTATGCCTCAGCCTCCTGAGTAGCTGGGATTACAGGCACCTGCCACCATGCCCAGCTAATTTTTGGTATTTTAGTAGAGACAGGGTTTCACCATGTTGGCCAGGCTGGGCTCAAACTCCTGACCTCAGGTGATCCACCCTCCTCGGCCTTCCAAAGTGCTGGGATTACAGGCGTGAGCCACTTGCGCCTGGCCAGACTGTGCATTTAAAAAGATCTCTTTTTGTTGTCTACTTAGGTAATGTAGGTTTCCATATTGCCAAAATTGGGAATTCATCCATTACTTTTATAATAAAAGATTGCTAAAGATGTTTTTATTGTTAAAAAAATTCTTTTTACATATAAGTTAAATATATAATGCTAGTGTGTTTATCAAGGAGCTAGTGCTCTTTTTGTAGTTTTTGTTCTTATATGCACACAAACCACTTATATTTATTTTGCTTATTATAGGGGAGTACTACTCTTTTACTTTCCTTTTAGATGTAACCTTCTGTAATGGAAGATGATTGAAGACAAGGGGCCTCGTGTTGCTGACTACTTTGTTGTAGCAGGATTAACTGATGTTTCAAAGCCTCTAGAAGAAGAAATTCACTTCAACGATGCTTGTCATAAAGTAGCTAAACCAAAAGAACCTATTACAGATGTTTCAGTTATTATCAAATCTCTTGGGGAGGAAGTCCCACGGGATTATATTTGTATCGATATTACCCCAACTGGATTGTCAGCTGATCTTAATAATGGAAGTCTTGTGGGGCCACAGATTTACCTTTGCTATAGAAGAGGAAGAGATAAGCCTCCACTTACAGATCTGGGGTAAGTATTTTTTTAAATGACTTACTGTTATTGATCCAAATAATATGCCTTGTAGATTTTGAGATTAATTGTTCATTTTGGTCATTAATAGATGTATGGCAGATTTAGAAAAATAGACAAGTTTGTATTCAGAAACCTGTGTTCTCTCCATATTTCCTTTTGTCTCTCTTTATCCTACAGTTCCCAGCAGTCTTACCGTGCCTGGGTTTCTTTCTGTTAGAGGCAGGGGAGAGAATTTGAAAAAAATTTGCAGGAAAGTACTAGAAAATTAATGTATTATCCTGATTGGAAAATTTTTGATTATTTTTAAAATATGAAAAAAGGCTTTTAGGCATGTTACAATGATCAGCATAGATGGATTTTTTTTTTTTTTTTTTTTTTTTTTTTTTGAGACGGAGTCTTGCTCTGTCACCCAGGCTGGAGTGCAGTGGCGCGATCTCGGCTCACTGCAAGCTTTGCCGCCTCGGCCTCCCAAAGTGCTGGGATTACAGGCGTGAGCCACCCGCACCTGGCTGGATTTTCTTTTTTTTAAAGAGACAGGGTCAATCTCTATCACCCAGCTGGAGTGCAGTGGCATGATCATAGCTCACTGCAGCCTCAAACTCCTGGCCTCAAGTGATCCTCCTGCCTCAGCCTCCTGAGTAGCTGGTACTGTAGATACACGCCATCACGCCTGGCTAGTTTTTAATTTTTTTGTAGAGACAGTGTCTTGCTATGTTGCCCAGGCTAGTCTCGAACTCCTGACCTCAAGTGATCCCCCTGCCTTGGCCTCCCAAAGTACTGGGATTACAGATGTGAGCCACCACACCCAGCTCCATTATAGATGGATTGTTAACTATGTGTATCAAAGAAGGATCTTGGGGTAAATTAGAGCTTTACTTGGGGTGCTTTATTATTGAGATATAATTCATGTACCATACAGCCACTCATTTATTTAAAGTGCACAGTTTAATAGTTTTTAGTATTTTCAGAGTTATGCAACCATCACCACAGTAAATTCTATGACATTTTTATCATGTCAAAAAGAAACACTGTACTCATTAATAGCTGCTCCCTAATTTCCTAACTCACTTAGCCTTAGATTACTTTCTGTCTTTATGGATTTGCCTGTTTTGCACATTTCATATAAATAGAATCATACTATGTATATGATCTTTTTTGATTAACTTCTTTCACTTATAATGTTTTCAAGGGTCATCCATGTTATAGTATGTGTCAGTACTTTATTCCATTTTATGACTGAATAGTATTCCATCATATGGGTATAACACAATTTATTCATCTGTTGATGGATGTTTGAGACTTTTCCACTTTTGGGCTATTATAAATAATATTGCCATGAATATTCTTTTGCAAGTTTTTATGTGGACATATATTTTCATTTTTTATATGTATATACCTAGGAGTGACATTGCTGGGTCTTATGGTAATTTCATGTTCAGCCTTTTGAGGAACTGCCAGGCTGCTAAGCAACTGTACCATATTGCATTCCCACTTGCGGTACATGAGGGTTCCTATTTCTCCATGTCCTAGTCAGCATTTCATATTATTTTGATTATTGCTGCCCCAGTAGGTGTGAGATAGTATCTCATATGGTCTTGATTTGCATTCACTTGATGGCTAATGATGTTGAGCATCTTTTTATGTGCTTACTGACAAGTTTGTGTATCTTTGGAGAAATGTCTATTCAGATCCTTTCCCCATTTTTAATTTGGTTGTCTTTTTATTTGTTTAGCTATAAGAGTTCTTAACATATTCTAGATAAAGTCCCTTATCAGTTAAATGATTTACACATATTTTCTGTAGGTTCTTTTTACTTTCTTTATGGAATCCTTTGAAGCCAAAATATTTAGATTTTGTAGCTGAGTATAAGGCAGAGAGGTTAAGTAACTGCTTACAGAACTGCAGCTAGTAACAGGAGGTAGGAATTTGAATTTAGATTGTCTAACTTCTTTGTGTGTAGGTGCCCTTTTTTTAAGTTAAAAAAAAAAGTAAAACAAGACCAAAAGAAGAAAGAATAAGCACTTAACCTAACATTAGGGTTCATGCAGTTGCTATGATTAAGCATCGGATTTAACTGTGAATTTTCAAAATGTTGAGAAGATTTAAAAAAAAAAATTTGTTGATGGCCAGAACAAAAAGTGAAATTAAAACTTATATTAGAAATAATTTGGCCAGGCACAGTGGCTCGTGCCTGTAATCCCAGTGCTTTGGGAGGCCTAGGTGGGTAGATCACCTGAGGTCGGGAGTTCGAGATCAGCTTGACCAACATGGCAAAACCCTGTCTCTACTAAAAATACAAACTTAGTCTGTTGTAGTGGTGTGTGCCTGTAATCTCAGCTACTTGGGAGGCTGAGGCAGCGGGAGAATTGCTTGAACCCGGGAGGCAGAGGTTGCAGTGAGCCAAGATCATGCCATTACATTCCAGCCTGGGCAACAAGAGGAAAACTCCATCTCAAAAAATAGTAATAATAATAATTTGACCAGTTTTTGGCATTATATTTTATTTTTATAGTGGATTTTATATGAGAGAATATTGATTGATGATGAAGACACTGCTTGTTACAAGTTTTATAGCAAATGCAAAAACACAATTTATAGCTTTATAGCAAATACAAAAACACATTTAATTTGTAGCTAGGCACGGTGGCTTACACCTGTAATCCCAACACTTTGGGAGGCTGAGGCAGACAGGTCACCTGAGGTCAGGAGTTCGAAACCAGCCTGGCCAACATGGTGAAACTTCGCCTCTACTAAAAATACAAAAATTAGTTGGGTGTGGTGCCACACACCTATAATCCCAGCTACTTGGGAGGCCGAGGCTGGAGAATTGCTTGAACCTGGGAGGCAGAGGTTGCAGTGAGCCAAGATCACGACACTGCACTCCAGCCTAGGTGACAGAGTGAGACTCTGAGACTCTGTCTCAAAAAAACAATATATAGCTTATTTTATTTTTATTTTTTTACTCGTGCTAAGGACTTGGCATTAAAGTACAAATCCATGAATTCAGTGAGGGAATAAACTAATATTATTTAAGCACTATTTTTTTTAGTGTCCCTAAGTGCTTAAATATTCAAAACTTAATGAACGAATGCCAGGTCCACCCTGTACTAAAAGCCTACGATTTTACCCCAACAAAGAAAAAATAAAAGCCTAGTGCCTCACCCAGACTTTTGATTAAGGATGGATTTGAAGTTAGATTGTCTTAGCCTAAAACTCTCTCTTAAAGCTAAGGAAAGTATTGGAGATAAAAGTGTGCAAGCATACTCTACACAGTTGGGCAAGTAACCTTTTGTAAAATTTTAACTTTGGCCAAAATGCTAGTTGCTTTTTCTAAAGAAGGTGCTTGTTTTAGAGACAAAAAAAAATTAATAACTATATTAAATGATGTGCCAAAACAGGTACCTTCACATTTAATTGTGCCTTTTCTCTGGTTTATATTAACAAAAACAATGGTTTATCAGAATTTTTCCTTAAAACAAAGTTTTTGGTGGGGAAAAGAGTTATTCTTTGATGTATACAAGACCATGCATTTCAAAATTGCAGTAAGATTGGAATATTTTTACCACACTGCTACATTTAAGGATCAGTTGATGATGCCTGAGAACATTACTTTTCATATTTAAAGTGCTTTGTGTATTTGTGTATTCATTTTTAAAATTTTATATTTAGGGTTTTATATGACTGGAAGGAAAGATTGAAACAGGGTTGTGAAATTATTCAGAGTACTCCCTATGGACGCCCCGCAAATATCAGTGGGAGTACCTCATCACAAAGAATTTATATCACTTACCGAAGAGCCTCTGAAAACATGACTCAGAATACATTGGCTGTCACTGACATATGTATTATTATACCCAGTAAAGGAGAAAGCCCACCACACACGTTCTGCAAAGTCGACAAGAATCTCAATAACAGTATGGTAAGTGACTTACTTACACTGATAACATTAACCACTGATGAAAAGAGCATAATTTAAAATTTTTTTTTTTTTTGAAAACAGCATAGTATAATTACAGAATTGAAAAATGTGTTTTTAAAGATGTTAGATATTTTATTTTTTGGAAAGTACTTTGTACTTTCAAAAGAAACTGCAAAGAACTCTTCTCTTTAATTAAAAAAATAATTTCCCCCACCCCCCCTGCCCTCTACAAAAGCAATGAGTATCCTTCCACTTGTGGACTAGATCCCACACCTCAATAGGACTAGATCCCACATCTCAATTTACCTATTTGAGGACATGGCTTTAGTAGTCCTCCCTACTTTTTTGTAAATCATCAGTTTTTCCCTCCCTTTTTCTTCCAACATGCACAGATTTCTTATCTTTATAAAACTTCTTGATCTCATATTCCTCTCCTTCCATTGCCGCATTTCATTATCCTTTACAGTAAAAGTTCTGGAAAGAGTTGAGTATATTCTGCCCCATTCCTCAGTTTGCTCTTTCTAGTCAGCCTTTTGTCTCCATCACTCCATCAAGATTTCTCTTGTTGTCATATCCAGAGATCAATTCTTTGTTTTAATTTTTCAGCAAGTTTCTACATAAATGATTATTTCTTCCTTCTTGAAACAGTGCCATGAAGAAGAAATATACTTTCTTCTTAGGTACTCTCTTGTTTTTTCCTTTTACCTCACCAGTCATTCCCTCTCTGCCTTTGCCAATTCCTTTTCATCTCCCCATCCCTATACAATGGAGTGCCTCATGGTTCAGTCCTCAAACCATTTATCTTCACCACCTAAACATACTCCTTTGGTGATCTAATCATTTAAATACAGGCCATGTGTGGATGACTTCTAAATTTGTCTAATCTGGACTTCTCTAATTCATCATCCCTTCTTGAATATCATATAATGGAGCATCTCAAATTTATTATATCCAAAACTGAACTCCTGATGTTTCTCTCCAAACCTGCTTATCCCCATAGTCTTCCTTATCTAGCAAATGGAAATTCCATTCTTCTAGTAACTCACACTGAAAAACCTTGGAGTAAACTTAACCTTTATCTTCTCCTCATTCAGTTCTTCTGTAAACTCTGTTAACTATAATTTCAAAACGTATCTTGAACATGGCCACTTCTCGGCACCTCTATTGCCATAACCCTAGTCTAAGCCATAATTGTCTCTTAATGGGATTATTGCAGTAGTGTTCTAATCCAGGGGTCAGGTAAATTTTTTCTTTAAAGAGCTAGGTAATAAATTAGGTTTTACAGGTCATACAATCTCTGTCTCATAGTCATCTCTTTTTTTTAACCCTTATTTATAAAAGCAAAAACTATTCTTAGTTTAGATATACAAGAACAGACCTTGGGCCAAATGCAGGCCATAGTTTTTTATCTAACTGATCAATTCTTCCACTCTGCTCTCTCTGTTGTATTCTTTGCATAGACAAGAGTGATCCTTTAAAAACATAGATCAGATCCTATCACTACTCTGCTTAAAACCCTTAATGGCTTCCCATCTCACTCTTAGTAAAAGCCAAAGTCCACCCATGCATGATCCTTAACTGTCTTGTCTTTGTTCTTTTATTACTGTTTTGAATTAAAAAAAAAAAAAAAAAAAAGGAATGTATACTTAAAGAAAATTGGAGGGCAGGGAGTATCTAAATTATAGATCTATGAAGTAGAAAGTGAGAAAGTGAAGGTTCTTGTTCCTACTTCCATGTTTTGTCAGGGGTAACAATGAGCAATTTGACTTGTATCCTTCCAGACCTTTTGTGTCACATATGTGGGGTATGTATAATAAATTAATCCTTAATTTTTTTTAATTTGAATTTTTTTGTATTTCCTTTTTCTTTTTTCACTTTTTATTTTAAAATCGGGGTACATGTGCAGGTTTGTTACACAGGTATGTATTGCATGATGCTGAGGTTTAGGGTATGATTGAACCGGTCTCCCAGATAGTGAGCATAGAACCCAATGGGTGGTTTATTAGCCCTTGCTTTCCTCCCTGTCTTCCCCCTTGAGTAGTCCCTAGTGTCTTTTGTTCCCATCTTTATGTCCAGGTATACCCAATGTTTAACTCTCACTTATAAGTGAGAAAATGCAGTATTTAGTTTTCTGTGTCTGCATTAGTTTACTTAGGATGATGACCTCCATCTGCATCATGTTGCTGCACAGGACATGATTTCATTCTTTATGATTGTATGGTATTCAAATAATGGAAATTTCTTTATATTCTGATATAAGCCTTTTTTCTATCTTTATCAGTTTATATAATTTTTTACTTAATTCTTTTAACGACTGCATAATATTCCAGAAAGTACAAATGCAGAATGATGAATACAAGTTATTTTCAGTTTTTTCCATTGCTAGTAATGCTGCTTTGATTAACGCTGTGCATTTGCTGTAGATATTTGAGTGTCTCTGGAAGAATAAATAATTGTAAGTGGAACTGATGGGTCCATGAGTATGCTGACCATTTTGAAAGTGTTGAAATATTGTTCTGAAAACGCTGTGGCAGTTTTTACTCCCAGCAGCCATAGTTTATGAGAATGCTATTTCCTAGGTTCCCACACCTCACCAACATTGGTTGTTATTGGTTATTGACTTTTTAATTATTGACTATATAATACAAAATTGTTGTAATTTTAATTTGCATTTGCTTATTGTGGAGGTTAATATTTTAATATATTTATTGAATATTAAATATACTTAATATCAGTGTATTAAATACATTATTGAATGGCTAAATATTATTGTATTAAATGGATGTGCCACAATGTATTTATTATCCTCTTTTGTAAAGACCTTTAGATTCTGATTTTTTAAAATGTTACAAGCAAGCTGTTATGAACATACTTATAACCAAATCTTCTATAAAACAAGTTACATTTATTTAGCTCTTCTGTGCTATACACTGTTCTAAGTAGTTCATATTCAATAATTCAGTTCCACATAACCACCCTGAATAGGTATTTTCTCCCCATTTTACAAAGAAGAAAATTTGAGAGTTAAAGAGGTGGTTACTAGTTACTTTCCCATGGTCATACCTTCAATTAGTAGTTAAAGCAAGGTTCAAATTCAGGCTGCAGAACTCCAGAACCAAACTCCTGAGCACTGTACTGCGTTAATTATTTCCTTATGGTTTGTCCTGGAATTTCTGGATCAAGGCATATATTTACTATTAAGATTTTATCCAGAAGGGTTTAACCAATTAAAATTCCTACCAATAAAGTGTGAGAATATTGTTTTGTTTTGTTTTGTTTTTCATAACTCTGTCAACAATTGGGTCTTTTTTTTCTTTTTTTCTACTGCAGCTGCTCTGGAGAAACAATTGGGTTTTTCTTTTGTTTTTTTTAGAGACAGGGTCTTGTTCTATTGCCCAGGCTGGAGTATAGTGGCCTGCTTATGGCTCATTGCAGCTTCGACCTCTTGGGCTCAAGTGATCCTCCCACCTTAGCCTCTCGAGTAGCTCGATGGATCAACTACAGGTGTGCACCACCATATCCGGCTGATTTTTAATTTTTTTGTAGAGTTGGGGTTTCCCTACATACGCCAGGCTCGTCTCAAACTCCTGAGCTCCAGCAATCCTCTTACTTCAGTCTCCCAAAGTACTGGAATTACAGACATGAGCCCCTGTGCCTGGCCAACAATTGGGTTTTTAATCACAAAATTTTAAATTTAATTTCTTTCTTTCTTTTTCTTTGGTTTTTTTTTTTTTTTTTTTTTTAGACAGGATCTTTCTCTGTTATCCACGTTGCAGTACTGCAATAGCGCGATCTCAGCTCTCTGTAGCCTCAAACTCTTGGGCTAACATGATTCTCCTACTTCAGCCTCCCAAATAACTGGGACTACAGGCATGCACCACCATGCTCGACTAATTTTCAAATTTTTTTGTAGATACTGGGTCTTATTGTATTGCCCAGACTGATCTTGAGCTCCTGGCCTCAAGCAATCCTCCCTCTTTGGCCTCCCAGAGCACTAGGATTGCAGGCATAAGTTACTTTGCTTAGCTGTAAATCTAATTTCTTTTTATTTTATTTCATTTTTTCTGACCCTGTCTTATGGTGTGGATTTTGTTTCTTTTTTTTATTTTTCTCTAAAGTTAATTTCTTAAAGATGTTAGAGCAGATATTTACAGTGTCCTATTATAATTATGTAAATTAAGACTTTGCTAAGATCTAAAGATTTTATACACATTTCAGCATGTATTAAGTTTTTATGGAAGTTGACTTTTTAAAAATTCATGTTCCTTTTTCTGAAGTATAGGGAAGCAGACTTTTTTTTTTTTTTTTTTTGAGACGGAGTATCGCTCTGTCACCCGGGCTGGAGTGCAGTGGCGCCATCTCAGCTCACAGCAACCTTCACCTCCCAGGTTCAAGCAATTCTCCTGCCTCAGCCTCCTGAGTAGCTGGGATTACAGGCACACGCCACCATGCCCGACTAATTTTTGTATTTTTAGTAGAGATGGGGTTTTGCCATGTTGGTCAGGCTGGTCTTGAACTCCTGACCTTGTGATCCGCCCACCTGAGCCTCCCAAAGTGCTGGGATTGCAGGTATGAGCCACCATGCCCGGCCAGGAAGTAGACTTTTAAAACTTTTTTTCCCTCTCTTAATATAGCAACATGAGGTACTGAGGGTTAAGATAAAGCAAAAAGAGGAAAAACTGGGGTGTATTGATATGTGGCTGGATACAGTACAAATTTTGGGACCCTGAATTTGGTTTTAACCCTCTCAGTAAGATAGCAAAGGATATCTGTATTCTGTATTTCATAGTGATTAAAATCAGTGTAGATTAGTAATTCAGAGCACAGACTCTGGTTCTAGAGTGTCTGGGTCTATATCCTATCTCTGACCCTTACTGACTGTGTGACCTAGGACAAGTAACTTACCCTCTCTGTGCCTGTTTCATGATTGTAAAATGAGGATGATAATAGCATCTGGTTTAGTCCATGTTAAGCTTAAGGAAAGAGTTTTCGAAAATTAC